CGCGCCAAACGCTGGACGGCCCAGTACCGCCGTTTCCCCCGACGACGTCAAACACAATGTACCGCAAAGAGGGGACGTTGTCTGCCAGCCGGTGGACAATCCGCCTTCTCGGGTATTGGTGAATGGTCATAGGGATTGTCCTTGGCAACGGTACTTGCTCGTCGTCATCGCTGTCGGCCGCCGGCCCTTCGTCATCACCACTGCCGGCTTCTGGTTTGTCGCCATCGGGCTGACCTCGGGCTTCTTGTCTTCATTGTTCTTGACCTCTGGTTCCCCTTCTGCCTGGGGTCGATCGTCGATACGGAGGAAGAAGAAGTGCAGGTCGCGGCCGCCGAGGAGCGACAGCAAGTTGGACTGGGATTCTCTCAGCGTCTGGGTTGAGTGATGTACACGTCCGTCGAAGCTCACCAGAAGCATATCATGATCGCCCTCCGTGCTTCCGCCCTCCTATTCTTCCTTGGCGACTTCGATGTTGAACATAGAGACAAAGAGACCCAGCACCAGGTGAGTAGGAGAGGACTCGGGTCCTCGTGCTGCAGATTGCTCCCCCGTGGCTCCTCGACGGTGTCTTTGGAACAGGTTCTTTTATCGCGTCAGCCCCAGGTACTGCAAATTGGGGAATGCCCGCTTAAGCACGGAGAGGCCCGCGCTGCCCCCGTCGTACGCACGCAGTGGGAGCGTGCGTACGCGCGGGTACACGACGGCCTCGTCCTCGATCCCTCGACTTACCACGTGTTGATATTCTCGAGCGTTGCGGCATGGCTGAGGGCCATCTAGATGAGCAAGTTCATCTGCGACATGTCCTCCTCGTTGAAACAGGGCAGGTCGACCTCGACGAAGGGCGACCTGAGCTTGTCGAAGATGGTGGACGTTTTCGGCCCGACAGAGTGCGCGTACTGTTGGTGCAGGCGCTCCTTGAAAGCTAGAGTTGCGCCGTTTTTTTGGTGCTTTTCTGGACGAGATCTTCGCACGAGTCTATGCAAAGGGGGGAGGGTGACTAGTGAACGTGTAACGCAACGGTCTACTAGTACGCCCATCGGAGGGCCTGAAGTGCAACTTCGGCGAACTTGTTACACGGCGCCTAATATGTACGTTCTCGTCCTCTCACTCTCGCGCGTCCGTTATGTTGCACCAGACGTCACATTTTTGAGCAGTATGCGCGAGACATGACTCAATTATACGCTTAGGTACGACACTAAAGAACTTTGTCTTGGCGGGCCCCACCTAAGGCTGCCTGCACAGTGCTTTCAAACGAATATCCCGCTCACGCTAGCTCTCCCGGCCATACAAACCACTCGCAATTATTCCCTCTTGAACTTCGGTATTGAGATTCTCACGTTACGTATGCTCTTCGCGCTCAGGTATTCAACGGAAGTCATTTCTCTCACGCTGATGACGACTGGGCTGTGTCTGCCACGTTATCGATCTTGAGAGGTACGTATAGGTCGTGATCCCAGGCTGGAAGACGCTAAGTTTCCGCGTGCCTGGGCATCTTGCGGGGGTCTCGGAATGCTGGTAGGCCACGGGATACTTCAGAGTGCTTCTATCTATCCATCGTCGGGCGATACTAGTATCCGCATCCTGGAGGCGACCCACGGCTCACCAGGGATGCATTCCCTTGCTGTCAATCTTGACTTTGCGCACCGTCGTTGTTCTGTGGGCAGGAGATACCCATGCCGCCTCTCCCGCCGCCGCTTCACGAAGTATACAGCCAGCAGCTTTTTACGGCTGGTCATGGCTACCCGCTCTGGGACGCGGAGCCGGAGGACAAGAAGTACGAGATCGAGGTCGGCACAGTCGGCCGCATCGACTCGGGAAAGTTCTGGCTGCTCTTCAACGCCATGAAGCCCGCCGACGACCCCTACCAGAAGCACGGGGTTCCGTCGCACTTTGAGCTCTTCGCCCCACAAAACACGATGCCTCAGGGGCCTTGGAATAGAATCAAGACGAACCTCCTCGAGAGTAACACCGTTCAGAAGCGCGACATCTCGGCAAGTGCCTCCGTGGACTCGTGAGTACCTTCCTTGCAATGTTGAATGCAGGTATGGCATCGGTGACCGTGTGTGATCTAGCCCGGATGGCCTGATTTTTTCGGCGAGGATGGGCTTCAAGTTCACGTGTAGCGACAACGCAGGCGCGTTCTTGATGCTTGAACCACCCGGGATGGCGTACATCTTCAAAAACAAGCGGCACATCGTGAGACACATGAGAGACAACTTCAGCCACTGGGTCGAGTTCGCCAACACGGAGCGCGGGATGATGCTCAAGCAGGAAGAAATATTCTTCGTGCACGGCGTCATCAAGACCACCCGATGGGCCGCCGGCGCGTTCCACGGCAACTGCAAGAACAAGGAGGGCTCCGTCGACATCAACGCGGTCGGCGCTGGCGGCCTCGCGTTCTCCATGGCGTTCAATACCGAGGAGGCGACGCGAAGAGAGTACAACTACGGCCCGACGCAGCCACGAGTGAGTTTCGACACGACCTCTTCGCACGCGATCGAGGCCGGCACATCCGAGTCGCAGGCGGCTGTGCCATCCAGCCCCCTTCCCCGATGCAACCAATGCATCTTCATCAACTACTACAAGGCGAAGAGGCGTTGGCTGTTTGGGATGAGGCATATGGAGGCAGCCGCGGGCCCTCACGAGCTGCCTCCTGGAGATCGAGACAACCCGGGCGGGAACGCCCCAGTAACTGCGGGCAGCGGCTATTCTGAGGGGGGCTTCGAAGAGGTCCCGAGTGAGCCACCGGTGCGTGTATCAATTCGCTTGTGAACCTCTCTGGTACTAATCTCATCCTGCAGCTGTGGGACCCAGTCAACTGCTTGCTGGATTACATTCTCGCGGTAGGATTGACGATTACTAGACGGGAAGGGAGATGCTGATGAGCATGCTGCAGAACTCCGATGCGAACATGGCGATCGCGTCAGATACTGACCTTTATGCAATATTTCACGTGCGCCACCTCCATAAACGGTTCCCTTACACACCGTCACAGCTGACCTACCGGGAGAGTAGGGCATGGAAATTCCGGTTGATATCCCTGCCGCGCTTGCGTCGCTCAGGCCTACGGTCGAAATAGACGAAGAAGGAGGTGTGTAATTCGCTTTCCCCCGTTTGCCCGTAAGCTCACACCGGTATAGCCGGGACTGTCCTGGTCAACTATCGTGTGATCCTCGACCAATATCAGGATGAACCCCGGCCCATCTCTCCTGCGCCTGCAGGAGACACCATGCAGGTGGAGGGTATGTGGACAATTCTGCTGTTCGAAGCCGTTTCACTCATGACCCCATGGAAACAGGGGGCGTGACCCCAGGTCAGGCGGGATCTCATAGCGGCCCATTGCCGGACCTCCCTGGCGCAACTCAAGGAGAGCAGTTACTTCAAGACCCATTCACCCCTGATCCCGCCATCCAACGTGGGCTACCTCCGCCCGGAGAGTTCACACCCGTGCTGGGCCTGGAACAGGCACCAGCCGCCTCGTCTTCCCAAGTTCAGGGCGATGATGATGATGACGAATCAGGCCTCACGGAGGAAGAGGCGCGAATGAGAAGGGAACAAAAGCAACCTGACTTTGAGTGGCGGGCGGCGGCAGCTGGCCATGTGGGCACTGTAACAGCGATAACGTACTCCAACAACTGCAAGCTGATCGCGAGCGGATCTGACGACAAATCGATCATCATCTGGGACGCATCCGACCAGAGCATCGTCCGCAAGTGGGATGCGCACACCGACGTCGTCTGGGCGCTCGCCTTCTCGCCCGACGACAAGCGCCTCGCATCTGCCGGCGCGGACTGCAAGGTCATGATGTGGTCTGTGGAAACGGACGAGCTGCTCGCGACGATGATTGGGCACGAGGAGGTCATCAACTCCATGGCCTGGTCGCCCGACGGCAAGACGCTCGCGTCTGGCTCGGACGACTCAAACATCCGCATCTGGGACGCCGAAACGTACGAGCAGCTGCATCTGCTCGAGGGCCACCAGGCGATGGTGACGTTCGTCAAGTACTCGCCAGACAACCGCTACCTCGCGTCGGGCAGCGCGGATTACACCTGCCGCATCTGGGACGTCGCGAGCGGGACGCTGCACAAGGAGCTGCAGGGCCACAAGGGCATGGTGTGGGACGCGGACTTTGACGCGGAGAGCCGGCGGATCATCACCTGCTCCGACGACGCGAGCGCGCGGATCTGGAACGTCGAGACGGGCGAGATGCTCATCCGGATCCACGAGCACCACGGGCCGGTGTGGAACGTCTTGTTCACGCGCGACGGTTCGCGCGTGCTCACCTCGTCGAGCGACTCCACGCTGAAGATCTGCGACTCGTACTCGGGCGAGCGCCGCTTTGCACTCGAGGGCCACGAGGGCAGTGTCCACACCTCGTGCTTCTCGCGAGACGAAAAGTACATTGCATCGACGTCGGCGGACAACACGGTGCGCCTGTGGCGCACGAGCGACGGCGCGCATGTTGCGACGTTCAACGAGCACGAGGACAAGGTCACCCTGGTGGCCTTCAGCCCGGACGGCGAGACGCTCGCATCTGGTGCGGACGACGGCACCATCCGTATCCGGCTCGCGAAGGAGTGGAATCCAGACCGCGCGGAGCAAGAAGGGAAGGAAGACGGAGACGGAGACGAAGATGAGGGATCGTGAATTATGACCTTGATTTCCCTGCTCGAGTACGCTGATCCCCCGCTCTCCAACGCATGCTTCCCTGTTGCTCTCAAGCTCTTCATGCTCTAATATTGTAGCTTTCTATTCCGTCGTGTTCCTCGTGTCTCGAGTTGTAACTAACATATCGACGTGCTCGGGAGACCACCGATATATGCAGTCACGACGCGCTTCTCCCTGGCATCCTCGCCAGGCCTTGTCAAGTATGCTCCTCATGTGTTCTCAAGCTCAGCGCTGTTCCGCTGCCATGCGCAAGTACTGCGATTATTGCCGTCCGCCGTTCCAAGACAACGATGTCTGGTATCTCAGTTTGCAATACTAATTCCGGCAAAAAATGACAGTGACGAGATTCGAACTCGCGCGGGAAACCCATCACGGTGGAAGTCCAAAAGGCCTAAACGTGACGCCGTAACCACTTGGCTACACTGCCCTAATGTACCACCAAACTACACCATATTCGTTGGCTCTGATCCTCAAGTGCGTCGGACTCGCCGGTTTGGACCCTTGCATCTTTTCAGAACCACCACGTACGAACGCCTACCTGGTGGGGGAAAACGTTTGGAAAACAATGCCCCGTTATCTGCGCCGGTCTTACTAGCGGGCTTGGGAACGTGTTACCAGTTCCATAGGTATGCATGATATGGAGGCAGAGACATACACCGTTGGGCAGTACTGATGCGTCGACACCCAGTGATTACTCGACACCGACAGAGTCACCACATTATTGATTGTAGTGATATTCCCACCGCAGCATCGCGAAGAGATCCAGTCACGCGCGACCCCGCGTGCTGTATGGTATGGACGAACGAACCTAGGCGCCTTAGTCTCGGACGCCCAAGTGCGTCTTGATGCTTCATGGTGAAGATCCGGAAGAACCTCCACGGCTTTGGGGCCCTGCATCGGGCCCGGCGGGCCTGCGGTCCCCTCATACTGGTCGCCGCCGTGCACAAGTTGAGGTGAACGACTGGTTTACTGACTTCTCCGCGGTCACCCTCGTGGCGCATGTGCCCATGTGAATCATACTTCGCACACACTCTCCGCTCTTCCACGTCTCCTGTTGCTTTCTCCGGCATGTTCCTCAGGAGTTCGCCATGCGTATCCTAGGCTAGAATCCCAGATCGGTACGCTGCCATCCACGCTGCGGCCCAGAAAGTCGATCAGCGTGGATTGCGACGCGTCGGAAGCGTTCCGCAGCTCGTCGTGACTGACCGTTGCGCTCGTCAGGTGCCCGATTGGACGGAGATGTATCGGTCACCAAGCGGGTCGTTGGATTTTCCCCCTCACGAATACTCGGTGGATTGAGCCGACATTGAAGCTACCGATACGACGCCCGCGAGTACTTAAACCTCTCCAATTGTCGAAGTGGCGTCCCGAGTGCATATAGGCCCTCTCCGTGGACCGACACAGCATCCCCTCCCGTCCAAGATGGGTTTCAAGTCTCTGCTTGCGTCTCTGCTGCTCGTCTCCGCTGCCTCTGCCCAGCTGTCTGGACGTGTCGGTCCCACGAGCTCGCTCTCGTCCAAGCAGAGCACCATTTGTAATGTGCTTGACTACGGAGGAAGTGTTGGCTCCAGTGACATCGGTCCCGCCATCTCCAGCGCCTTCACGGTATGTTCGAGCGTTGCTATGTTCCTTTCACCACTGACTATACTCCAACAGAACTGCGTGCTCAAACACTCGGGGTCGACTCTGTATGTCCCTGCAGGTACCCATGCTCACCCATATTGAATTATACATCACCGGGATTCACCCGAACTATCCATAGGTAACTACCAACAGAAGACATGGGTTACATTGAAGGGCGGAACCAAATGGGCCTTCCGTTTGGATGGGTTCATCACGCGTGCTGGTATGCCTTCTGCTCACTCTCGGCGAGCTCTGTAGTATAGAGAAGTTCTGACATGCCATGTGATGCAGCGACGACCGGCGGTAATATGATCGCAATCCAGGACGCGAACGACTTTGAGTTCTATTCCGCCAATAGTGCCGGTGGTATCCAGGGCCTTGGATACCAGGCTCGCAACGCTGGGTGCGTCCCTTCTTCGGAGGAACTGTGCCATTAGGCTCAACCGATGTTTTGTACGGTATAGGCCCCGCCTGATCCGCGTCATAACCTCCACGAACTGGTCTATCCATGATCTCGTTCTCGTCGACTGTGAGTCTTTTGCTCTCATTGCCATGCATAGCAGACATTGACGCCTCGTTCCTCAGCGCCCGAGTTCCATCTCGTCATCCAGCAAGGCTCGAACGGAGAGGTCTACAATCTGGCCATTCGTGGTATGCGATGGTTACATTCGTACATGGAAAATGGATCGGCTAATGTCAACTTTCCAGGCGGTAATATCGGCGGATCCGATGGTGTCGACGTTTGGGGCACCAACTACTGGATCCACGACGTCGAGGTCACAAACCGGGACGAGTGTGTCACCGTCAAGGTGTGCTCTAATTTACCATGGCAGTCTTGCCATGTGTGCTGAGTAACATGTCACAGTCTCCGTCCAACAACATTCTCGTCGAGCAGAGTGAGTGACTTTGTGCGCCTGCCTCGTGACAAGTATCTCACGTAGGGACAGTCTGGTGTAACCAATCCGGAGGAAGCGCTATCGGCAGCCTGTCTGACGGCACCGCCATCGAGGATGTCGTCTACAAGTACGCGCATGCCATATGTCTGCGATCGATCCTTACAGTATCGCAATTCCAGGAACATTTATACGAATGGCGGCAACCAGGCGTTTATGATCAAGAGTAACCTCGGCTCCGGCTACGTTCGGAACGTACTGTTCCAGAACTTCATCGCCGTCGGCACCGCGTACGGCCTGAATGTCAACCAGTACTGGTCCTCCCAGTCTCCCGGCAGTGGGGCGGGCGTCCAGCTCTCAAACATCACCTTCGAGGTGAGCCATTCCGCCCATCTCACGGGGTCCTCGCAGCTCACATCAGCGTGCTATATGTAGAACTGGAATGGAAACGTCGCCGACGGCGTGAAGCGCCCTCCCGTCCAGCTCATCTGTGCCGATGGCGCGCCGTGCACTGACATCACGCTCAAGAACGTCAACATGTGGTCGCAGACAGACAAGGCGATCATCAAGTGCGAGAGCGCGTACGGATCCGGCCTGGGCTGCATCAAGAGCGGCTCGTCGCACACGAGCTACGCCGTCGTCACCCAGTCTATCTCGAGGCCGCCGGGGTACTCCACGCCGACGACGATGTCGGGCGACCTCTCGGACGGCTTCCCGACCAACGCGGCCATCCCGACCCCGTGAGTTGCCTCCTGTGATCGCGGGCGGGTCTTTCCCTCATGCTGATCGTGATATCATCTCTTTGTCTCGCATAGGACTATCCCGACGTCCTTCTTCCCAGGCCTGCCACAGATTACCCCCCTTGCCAAGAATCTTTGAACGTGGTTTCCGACGTATGCTCGGGTAAGACGCTTTGAGTTTCATTCTTGGTATTTTCAGACATTGTCCAGTTGGTGTCTGCATCTTTTGTGCGACTTGCCTGATTCATGCAGAGATGGCGGTGGTGTATCACAGGACGTTCGCATTGCAGCCTGTACCTGATTCTTCGAAACCGCAATCATGCGGTCACGGTATCATGATTCACGATGGCATTGAACGTGCATCGTGTGCGGCACGCATGCGTGCGAAATGTGAACAAGCCCGTTCCTGATGACCCTGATTTCCCTCCAACTCTAATCCGAGGACGCCGGACTCGTCAGTGGTGCGACTGCGGTCTCCAATACGGTCGGTTTTGTGCTTCCAGACTGAAGGCTTCCCGAAGGAAGCTGTAGTTGTCGCTTATCAGCATCGCTCTCGGACATTAGCTGAGGGGGAATCCACGATGGGGTACGTCTCATGCATCTGGACGCCGTTCTTCGCGTTGCTAACTTCTACTCCGTATTCCACCCGCTGGTCGTGCGCCTCACTTGTCGGCGTCCGGTGCAGCTCGTTCTCAGGCACCCGTGGAGAGCATAACTTCTGGGAGTGCCGTCATACGTCAACACTCCTCTCAGGCCTTTACATGGATACCCGAGCGTATCTGCCCATCAGGTGTCGATCTGACAATGCACGGTACCCGACGTGCGAATGCGATATGCCCATTAACTCTGTCATCCTTGTTGGCATTGTCAGATCAGTGTTCACATACTGTCGCACAATGGTGCGTCGGTGTCACTGTCAGCATGAGGCCGCGGCCAGGCGTCCCTGCGAACCTCGACCGGGATACCCTGATTGGGTTCCTGGTTCCTCATTGTCCGATCAGGATGCCTGCTTCCACCCGTAGCCGGTGGGTAGCATACCTGGGTATTCCGCTTGCCTGGGAACGTTACCCGTATAAAGCGTGCGGTCGTTGGCGGTGCAACCCACCGTACCTCGAACTAATGCTCGTCTCCCCTAGGGTCCTGCTCTTCTGGACTCTCGCCTGCGCCGTGTCCGCCCGTGTCCGCGCAGGTGAGAAGTATGCCCCGGATTTGCAGCCCTGTCCGACCGGGGTCTCCCTGCTGCGCGAAGTGGGGCCGAACGCACAGGCGCAGACCCTCAGTCACGACGAGCAGCTCTACATTCAGCAGAGGCGCTCGCAGGTCCTCCCCGGCGCATGGACGAACTATGCCGCCAACGTCGAGAGCGCCGCCGACGCAACATTGCCCGAATACATAGACCAGATCCTCCGCGGCGCCCACGGACAGGACGCGCTTCCCAACCTCGGCATCGCGACGAGCGGAGGCGGGCTGCGTGCGGCGCTCTTCGGGGCAGGGATCCTGAGCTCCCTGGACGGCCGAAACACGACCTCCGCCCAGGCTGGCATCGGTGGACTTCTGCAGGCCGCCACATATATTTCTGGGCTCTCGGGCGGGGCTTGGCTCGTAACGTCCCTCGCACAGGCCAACTTCCCGATGCTTCCGGACCTCATCTTCGGGACGCTGCCTGCGGGGAACGACCGCAGCGCCACGTACGGAGGATGGATCACCACTGTCGACCTGCTTGACCCGCTCATCGACCCGTTCGCAACGGATCAGCTGCTGCCGGTGGTGCTGCAGGAAATTGCGGACAAGGCGGCGCTCGGCTTCCCGGTGTCTATTGCGGACGTGTGGGGGCGTTCGCTCGCACGTCACTTCGTGAATGGGACCACAGCAAGCGATATCTTCGAGGAAGACCTGGAGCATGGTGCGGGCATCACGCTGTCTTCTCTGTCGCATGTGTATGGTTTTTGGAGGTGCTAGTGAAGCACGTTCGTTTCTGACGCGCTTCTCTCCAGACCAACGTTCAGCGATGCCGCGCAGCCGTTCCCCATCGTCATCGCGGACTCGTTGACAGCCGGACCGAACAAGGGTGTGATTATCAGCGAGTCGGGCGTGGTAGTACCGCTGGTTAATCCCATCTACGAGTTCAACGTCTGTGAGTGAGAGGCTTCCACATGCGGGTACTGAATCTC